AAAGAACTGGCCATGAGCCGTGATTACCGGTTAAGTTACCAAAAGGATTCATGCCGTCTCGTGGCTAGTCCAAGTCTAACATTTCTTGCATCACCGCCAAAACTTGGAAATAGGCAATCAATTTTCTTCCACTGTGGAGAATCTACCGATGACGAAGCAATCCATCACGCTTTTGTGCAGCTTGAATGCCATATCATATTCTCGGCATCTTCTCCATTGGCAAACAATCGCTTCAATCTTGGAATAATTGGAAGATACCATATAACTTTTGCAGGAGGTCTCTTTCTATCAATACATTCGCTATTATCATCCTTGTCTTTCAATTTGTAACGCGATACACCACATCTTGGACACTCATGTAGGCTTTCAAACTCTTTTTCGTATAATACACAATCATTAGGGCAAGCATGTATCTTTTTATACCTGTAAACCCATTGGACAAAGTATTTTTTTGGCTTCATACATACGATCGTGCAAGGTGTTATCGCTTGGGAGCATATCTTTCAAAACTTCTAGTAACTCAGTGAAACTTTTATCACTCCAACCAAATTTGGCCTTCAAATTGACCAATCTCAATACAAATTGACAATCGCGTGAATGTTGTACATCCAAAGATACAGAGGTATCTCTCGAATCTATCTTCAATTTATCATAGACAAGCAAGATGTGCTTGCAGTAAAATTCTCTTGACCTACATCACGAATCATGTCTTCTATTCGATCTTCCATCGTCATATCCTCCTCTTCCTCAACTTGTGTTACTATTGGTGTATCAATCACTTCACCATGCCATGTCCATAGGATATAATTCTTCATTATCCCATCACATAAAAGATGTTCTCGTATTGTCTCTAGTGTGTGTACTCTCCCATTAACGCAGCTTAACGCATGGACAATACAATTTTCCATTAACCTTGGTGCCATTGTGTTCTAAGAAATCGCAAAAATTCTTCAACTCCATTCTCATACTCTTGTGAAATACGACTTGCATTTACCCAACTTCGATCCATTTTGGAATTGGAGTCTACAAATGAGAAACCCATAAAACGATTAATACTAATAATCGTTATCTCTAATGAAATCTATACCAAAGTAGATTAATTTGTAACGAAATTTCAACATGAATTTCGTCTATTTTTTGGTCAAAACCAAATTTGTATAAATTGAAATTATAGAGTTTTCATTGTTACTACCATCACTTATATAACTACATTGTTATATGTAGTTTTCGAATTCACACTTCATGATTAATTTCTAACAAAAATCCGACAGAGTTTCCTTTGTTTTTTGGCAACAATTTTAAATGACACAAGTGAAACCTCGACAATAAAAAGCCCCACTGGCATATTCAAGCAGCTTCAAGTATAATTGTACACATCATCAATACATTGAAAAAAACTATAATATGACTAAGAATTGAATCAACAAGCTAACCGCAAATGACTAAGAATCTCTACCTATGAAATGTAGTAAGGAAACATCGTACCTGTGGGTTAAGGCAGCGATGAAGGTGCGCACCACGTAGAAACGAGCAGGCCACGCACCGGGGTGGAGGTGGAGGATGCAAGTGCGGCTGTTAGGGTCGACGCCGTGGTGAGCGGACAATGCAATGTGGGTGGAGGCTGCGGTGGGGGTGGAGGGTGGGCGACTAGCGTCGCGGTGGGGTAGAGGTTCCGGTGGGGTGGGGTGGAGGTGGAGGCTATGGTAGGGTGGAGGTTGAGCCTGCGGTGCGGCTGGAGTCTGCGGTGGACGGTGCGGCGCCTACCGTCGCGGTGGGGTGGAAGCTGCAGTGGGGTGGAGGTGCTGCGGCGGGGGTGTCACGCGGTGCGCGGTGGCGACGTGAGGGAGGGCGTCCGGAGAGTCCAAAGTGAGGGAGGCCGCGATGCTGGAGAGTAAGGGGAGTGGCCGCGATGCTGGAGAGTAAGGGGAGATACAAAATGTAGCCTGGGAAAACGGGGTTTCAACGTCGGTTATACCCACACCCGACGTTGAAAGCCCATGCAGATGGGTTTTCAACGTCGGGTGAAGGCATAGCCGACGTCGAAATCCTACTTTCCACGTCGGGCATGCTAAAACGACGTAGAATGTGTCAGAATTTGACTTTCGACGTCGGTTGTTGACCAACCGACGTTGAAAGCATATTTAACGTCGGGTAAGATATAACCGACGTTAAACAGCGACGTTGAAAGTATATTTTCTAGTAGTGTATATCTAACTAAACTCAAATTGATTTATTTTGAGCCTTACACATTACAATTGTCTTTTGTATATAAAGACATGGAAAAACTAAAAGAAAGATATTTTCAAGTTATCTTTCATTTTTACACCTTGTTGACCTAGAATTTAGGTTTTTCTGTAGCTTTCTCTCCTATTCTTAGAGTAAAGCTTGTAACTGCACTTGTACGAATTTTACTATGAAGATCATCAATTCATAAGGTTTTAGGTCATATTTATTTCTTTTTCTCTATTTCTTTTCATTTATTTTTTGCCGTTTACATTTTCTAACAAGTTTTTCTACGAAATTTTGGCACTATTTTTCATGTTGAACAAATTTTACATTTAACTTATGATACAGCATGATAAATGTCATAGATATCTTAAAGTTAAGAAAAATATATATATAGTTCATGTTTAAGTATATAAAAATATTTTTTCAAATATCTATAATCATAATTTCCTAATACTAATTGGAGAGTATTATAATAAAAAATCTTGATTAAGTATTAGAATTTAAAGTTAAAGTATTTATTATAAGATTGGTAGAGATCTATTTATATACTTTATAATGGTTAATTAAATTCTCTTTGATTAATGGTCTTTAATTATATACTTAAAAAAAAAGCATTGTTTATTTATAGTTTAGCTAATAGTTTCTTCTCCAGTAACACGTTCAACTTGGCCTAAAGCAAAAAATAGTTCATTGCGTCTTGCATTGAACCACATCAATGCCTCTGTTAATCTACATTTGTACTAAAAGTGTCTTTAAGTAAGTCATTGGATCTTATGAGCTAGTGAAAAGATCAATTTTTTGGGATCAAATCGGTTAGTTCATGACCTCAAGAGAATGGTTGGAAGTCACACTAATCCATTATAAGATCAATTTCCAATCTCTTTCCATTGCTTGAGTTCTTGTTGAAATTATTCCTCATTTCTCTTTTGGACCTTATCTGGTTCTAGTCTAGCTTCCTCATCCATCTAGCATGTACCCATATTCTAATTGAAGTTCTTCCACAAATACCAAATTCAACTTATATCACAAATACCGACATAGAAAGTAATGGACTTTTTACGAAAATTGTCACCTGGTAGGATTCGAACCCAAGACATTAGTAGCCTAGAATTAGACCAATCACTACACTAGTACGATTTTTATTTATTTATTCATATTATTATTTTATTATACTTTATAATATATTATTTTATTATCTCGTTTAAGAGATTTGTGTCTAACGAAGATTCGAACCCGAAGACTTAGAGTTGGAGATCGATACTCCAATCACTAAACTACTACGAATTTCCGATACATAACTTACAAATAAATTATATTTATATACAAAATATATAAATACAAATATATTTATATATTTTGATATATAAATATTTATATACTTATATATTTAAATTTTTTTATTTAATATACACTTTCTATGTCTGTTAAATTTCAACCGACATGAAAGTACTTTTATGTCGATTAAAAATTTAACCGACATAAAAGCATTTTTACGTTCGGTTAAAATTTAACCGACATAAAAAGTTCATAATATTATTACAAAAATGCCACCGCCCTATATCCTATGACGGCTGGATTATAACCGTGATAAAATGTCGTCATAGAATCATATTTTTCCACAAGTGAGTCCACACAATTAGACATTCATTTGCCAAAGATTGAGCACAACCTAGAGCCCAATAAGGACTCAATCAAGAACTGAGGTCAACGTAAAGATTTGATGGTACCCAATCTCCTAATCTTGAGCCTAAAAAACAATGAGACTAAGATGTAAATCTAAATTCTCTACATACTTGATTAAGAACTGGAATCGGAATCAATTTAGAGAATTGATATTACAAAGTAAAAATAATTATTTAAACATCTAGATTTGTAACTTTTATAAGCTCCACTGTTAAAATAAAACTTGTAAAAATTACTTAAAAAAATAACATGACATGATAAAAAGTATTTAAAATAAAATAAAAACAAAATAATTTTTATATCATCTTTATATGGTAGATGTTATTACAAGTTTTTTATATAAGTGTTTTTTAACTCTGAGAGATTTGTCTCTTTTGAAAATTTCAAATTAATTTTAAAGAAATATATATATATATATATATATATATATATATATATATATAGATTTTAAATGAAGTTAGAATTATTTGTGTCTAAATAAATAGTCAGTACTTCTCAAAACACTTGAAATATTATGAAATATAATACAAATTCATTAAAATTAAACGTAAAACCTTCCAAACTTATAATTTTTAATTATGTTTAAAAACTATAATTTTTAAAAAATTTAAAAAAATGATTTAAAAGCATGTAGAAGAAATGTGTTGGTAGGAATAGGATTCGTCCTTCCCAAATGGCATTAGTAAACGAGGAAGGGAGATATATCTTAGCAAGAATCAAGCCAAATGGTAAGCCACGGAGCCAGGTGTCTAGAAATGATTGGGTGAAGGCGATATTTCAACCCCTCTCATCCATCATACCACGTGGTATTCATCGACCCCACAGAATCTTCCCTAGCCAACACCAACGAAGAAATGGATTTGAGGATATAACGCTGAGATAAAGGGATAAGCCGGAAACGCTCGTGGACCGTGCGATCTCAAATATCGCGCGACTCAACGGTGGAACGCTAATAGAGCATACGAACCACAGGAATGACTCAGAAAGTAAAATAATACTATGAAATAAGACTAAGCCATGCACAAAACAAAACCACCACATCTTTATATCTATCCTCTTCTGCCACTGCCACTGCCACTGTCACCAGCATGGCCACCGTCACCACCCAAGCTTCCGCCGCTATTTTCCGGCCATGTGCCTCAAAATCTAGGTTTCTGACCGGGTCTTCCGGTAAACTGAACAGGGAAGTGAGTATGAGGCCAATGGGGTGCCCTCCTTCAGCTTCTTTCAAGGTTGAAGCCAAGAAAGGAGAGTGGTTGCCAGGCTTGGCCTCCCCAGCTTACCTCAACGGCACGTAAGTACTAAGTATTGTGTTTATAGTTCTTTTAATCATGTAATTGACATAATTATTGTCTTTGTAATTCTTTTAATCATGTAATTGATCCGAAATTTTGGTTTCTATATTTTTTAATCTCAATCTATGTTAACACATGTATACTTCTACATAGTTTTATGCATCGTTTCTTTGGGCTGAAAATGGATATCATAATAATTAACTCTTGTTCTGTGGTACTAATAGTCTTCCCGGTGACAATGGGTTTGACCCTCTGGGGCTTGCTGAGGACCCAGAGAACTTGAGGTGGTATGTTCAAGCTGAGCTTGTGAATGGACGTTGGGCCATGTTGGGTGTTGCAGGAATGTTGCTTCCTGAGGTTTTCACCAAAATTGGAATCATCAATGCTCCTCAATGGTTTGATGCAGGGAAAGCAGAGTACTTTGCATCATCCTCCACCCTCTTTGTGATTGAGTTCATCTTGTTCCATTATGTGGAGATCAGAAGATGGCAGGACATTAAGAACCCTGGCAGTGTCAACCAAGACCCCATCTTCAAGCAATACAGCTTGCCCCCACATGAGTGTGGATACCCTGGTAGTGTTTTCAACCCCTTGAACTTCGCACCAACTTTGGAGGCCAAGGAGAAGGAACTTGCCAATGGTACATGCTCTATTATTTCTGCCTAAACAGTTTATTAATCTGGGTTTACAAAATTATGTTGGTACAATCTTTAAGATATGGTGCTTCCCATTGGATGAGTGTTGTTTTGGTTTTGCATTTGGAGAATCTCATATCTATGTTCGTATGATCGAAGTTATTTGAAGTAGTTTTAACTTGACAAAACAAATATACAAAAATTGATCATATATGGTGTTTATGTTTGGATAAAGTAGAACTACTTTCAATTGGATACATATTTTCTCTTAATTTATTCATTTTGTAGAACTCTTTGGCTAACCTTGTTTTGGTTATAATTTGTGTAGGGAGATTGGCTATGTTGGCATTCTTGGGATTCATAGTTCAACACAACGTGACAGGGAAAGGACCATTTGAGAACCTCTTGCAGCACCTCTCTGACCCATGGCACAACACCATCATCAATACAATTCGTGGCTACTAAGTTTGTATCCAGTGACATGATGATAAGCCTGTGTTCTTCTCGTGTAATCCTGAATGGCTGAATTTTGAGAGAGATGTGGGCATGATTGTAATGATCCATCTATTTTCATGTACAGAAGAACTGAGATGGTTTTATATTGTTGTTTAGAATCAAGTCCGTTAATCAGTAATTAAGCATGATACTTGAAAAAAAACATCAAAATTCAAAGACAGTATTTCGGAAGTATGTAAAATTGAATTCCACTTTCTGCAAAATTTAAATTTATACAACTTGGATCTATACATTGATTTCAAAACTCTAGCATGATATACAAGTCACCTAAAATAACTGACATATTTTATGTGGACAAACTGTAAGTCTTGTATAATAGATATATTTTACACATCTGGTTGCTAAAACTAAATCCCAAGACAAATTTATGTCTCTTAATTACTAATCAACACTTTACTAAGACTAACCTTAGATTTCATCCTTTGCTTACATAGAGGCAAGATATTACTTTCAGTAATTTATTTATCGTCATAGGATATCATATTTTTGTCACTTAATGTTTTCATCTTCACGTCTAATCGGATATATAATTTAAATGAGAAGAATATGAAAAAATCTGTAGTGATATATAATTTATATACTGTTACATTGATAGCTATTGTGACTTCATGGTTTCATATTCTTATCTAAACTGGATTTAAATATTTATTTTCAATGAATATTTTACATTCATTCATACTACTTTAGCTCATATGAAGATTAATATCTTATAGGAAAATTTCCATAGAGATGCTAAGCTGGAAAATACATTTCTACTTAAAAAAAAAAAACAACTGACACCACATCTTAAAACATGGATAGAAATGAATTTAAAATTCATGTTCATTTATATTTTTTTTCAATGCAATTTAAATTTGTATTGAAATTAAATTAAATTCAAATTGATTGATAATTTAATTCAAATAAAACTCATCTTATCCAATCTAATATGGTTTGACCCAAGTTAATCAATTAGTTTTGGTCTAACTAATGATTATCTTAACTTGATCTTGACCTAATTTAGCATGATTTAACCTTGATACGTATCTTAACTTATTTGGTCCAACTTAATCTAACTTGACCGAACCTAAACTTAGTTTGACGAGGCTAAGCCATGTTTGATGTGGCTTTAACCTAACACACATTTACCCAACGTAACAAGGTCCAAGTGACTTAATACAACTTGTACTAGCTTGTGTATCAATCCAATAAGGTTTGGTTTGCCTCAATACAATTCAATATAACATGATATGGTTTGACTTAGCCTAACATGGTCTTATTAGGCTTAACTTGGTATTAATTATTCAAATTTAGATCAACCTGACTTGACCTAAACCAGACAAACATGGTTCGATCCCACTTAATGTAATGGGGTTGACTTGACTCAATTTAACTTGATGAGGCTTGATCTGGTCTGTCCTTATCTTATTTGACGGGGTCTAACCTGTTTGATTTTGTTAAACTTAACGTGACTCAACTTGAATGGACTCAGTTCAATCTAACTTGACTCAAACTGATCCAACTTGGTTTGACCTGACCCAATTGACACTATCTCACTCGATCTAACTGATCTAGTTAAATCTTATAACCAACTCACTTGACCTTGATTTTGGATTTTTAAAATGCAAAAAAATCAATTTAAATCTAATTAATTGAATTAGATTTAAAATCCAATAATATGGATTTCAATTTGAATATTTGAATTATTTTATGAGATAATCACTTATTACTTATTTTCATCTAACATAATTATGGCCAATTCATACATTATAATTAAATTCATAATCATGTTCACAACTACTAAACCATATGAATTCAATCTCTTCATAATTCGAACACACATTTTTGAAGTTTGAATTCTAAATAAAATTCAAAGAAATATTTTTAGATAGACAATACTAAAAAAATTAATTTTGTGAGGAAACCAATTTGTCACAAATTAATTATTGACACATTTTATAACAAGAATTTAACTTATATAGTGATAATATTTGTGATGACATATTTTATGATAGAATTTATTCTTCACAAATATTTATCTCTAAGACATATCCAATAAATTTCAAGACATTTTTTTGACGACAATAACAAATACAATACATTTTTCTTACAAATTTTGTCACAAAATATTTTTAATTAACTTTTATCACAATATATTTGTCACAAAATTCATCACAAATTATGAGAGGTATATTTCTATCACAAAAACAACTTCTTTTAGTTAGATAACAAGTTATATAAATGAAGATCGATGTTTTTTATATTTATAAACTTTTAAAATTTAATAAAATTTATTCTTTGTTTAATTAAACTATTTCATCTAATATTATTAAATATCTTAGAACACTTAATCCCAACTTCTTTAGATCATAGTTGATCTTATTAGATCATTTCAATCTATTTGACAATAACCTCTATAATTCATAATTTGAACATCTTATTTTATATATATTTTTATTTTTTTCTCTTTTTTTCTCTTTTTTTAATATTTATTTTGATTTAATCCAAAAAAAATATTTTATTACTTAATTTATTTACCAAACGTTTTTAATATATATTTTAATAAATAAACGTTTTACCAATTAAATACTTCACTAATATATTAAGATTCGATTTTCAATTTACAAATTTATTACTTAATTTATTTACCAAAATCCTAAACGTATCATAATAATGAAAAAAAATACTGAATAATTAATTTGAAATATTTCTGGATTTTTAATTTAGAAATTTTTTGAATTGTTAGTCTGGAATAAATACAATCATTAGTTCCGTAAATTTTCCGAAGACTTTATTCTTGAACTTGCAGGGGTAGAATTATTTTTTATATAAATATGAAGTGTGGAAATAAATTATAAAAGTAGGTAAATAAAGTATTATATACACACAAGGCTCATCGAGCCCATTAAAAACTGTCCAATTTGGATGGGCTTTAAATCCCGCATATAAACTTCCATGAAATTAGGGATGGCAAAGGATGCGCCCGCAAATGAAAATTCTGTTTCTTATCTATTATGTTATATATTGGATACCCCTTTAAAAATAAATTCCAAATTTTTTTATTTGCAGATATTTATAGATATTTGGAGATATTTTTTATTTTATTTTATTTTAAATAAAATTATTTAAAAATCATTATTTTAAATATATATTTTAATAATTTTTATCACAGAATATATTTGAAATAAAATTAAATCATAAAATATTAAAATACATAAAATTAATCTTTATAAAATATTAATTCAAATAAATTATATAAGATATAAGATTAAATATAAATTTAAATAATATTAATTTTAAATATTTTTTTTAATAGTTAATATTTTATCACCAATAATTTTATTTTAATAATTTTAATCGAAAAATATTAAATAAAAATTATTAGTGGATATTCGCGGGTTAGATTTCATTGTATCCGTACCTGACCCTCGTTAACAAATAAATAATTAAAATACTTGTATTCATTACCACACGGATCCATTTAACATATATATTTAATAGATGTGGCGGATTACAGCGACGAATATATGTAAATATATGTTTTTGTCGTCCTGAGACGAAATAATATATTTACTTAAAAAAAAGTATATATATATATATATATATATATAAATATAATTTGATAGTTTTTGTTGAGGTTCAAGTTTGTATCTTAGAGTTTGCGCATGTTTCTTTATTATACTTTTAACGACTATGATATGATAAATAAAAATTAATATAATAAACATAAAAAATAATAAGTTAATAAATGTAAATCATAAATTTTTTATAATAACAAAATTATTTATACAAAATAATAGTTTATCTAAATCAAATAATCTTGTAAGTTAAAATTATATTCATTCAAGGGATTTTAACTTCATTATTTCCAATTCCATCTCCTTTGCCATTCAAATAAGTAATGTCTAAGTGTCTAATTTCATCTAAATTCAAGTTGTTTATATCCATACATAATCTTTTACCTAAAACTTATCTTTATCTTTCATAATTCATTTAACATTAAATAAACAATCATTAACATTAATTTTAACTTTTTTTTTGTTTTTCTTAACTAATTTTAAATTAACCATAAAAACAACATCATTTTGCTTTATTTTAGCCTATTTCTTCTCCTTCTGATCACCAAAATAAATACATACAAAAGAAAATATGATAATCAAGTAAATTAGTAGTAATTGCTTATATACTAATGATAAGTTTCTAGATATCTCGAAGACCGGAGAAGTCATCTCATGGAGGATCACTAGAGCATGACTAAAAGGGACGTCTCTTTCTTATCCTTCATTTTGAATTTTCTTAACATTTATTTTCTTAAATTTTAGAGACTTATTTTTGTATTTTTTTGTAAGACCACTTTATACACCTCTTTTTTAAAGACCACCACCTCTTTTTTGGTGAAAAAGAAAGTTTGGACATATATGATGGTTACATGAGTTGCCCAAAGGTGTAGGACACTCTTTTTTCATATTCTACACCCTTTTTTGGAGAGGAAGAAGTTTGGGATGCGAGATTGGTAAGCTTGGGACAACCAAAAAAAAAACACACTTCTTTTTTTTATGTTCTCCACACTCTTAGAGACATTTTTTGTAGGCTAGGACGAATTTAATATATTTGGGTCATGAAGACTCTTAATCTTTAGGTTTAAGTTAAGTTTATATCTCATTTTGTAATTCCATCTAGATCACTTTCCCAAAAACCTATAAATAAAAGGTTTCCTCTCGTGTAATTATGTTGAACATTTATGACAAGACTGTGAGATTTCTTAGAGTGTTTCATCTCTTTGAGTATCTTATCTTGAACTTTGATTCAAATGGCGACAACCACCACTTATCTAGGGTGGCTCATCCCCTAGTGGCATGTCAACACTTCACCACCACCATAATTCTCTTCATCTTTTCTTTTTTATTTCTTCACTCCATTTATTTATCCAAGGGACTAGTCCATTTTTTCAGCCCTTGTTTTTATTCTTT